GTGTTACATATATATATATATATATATATATATATATATATTTGTATATGCTGCCTAATCACAGCTCTTAGTGTACCGAGTCTTTACTATACAGAAATCCATCAGGTCGACTATCCTGGTGGCAATGAGTACACCAAATAATGCACGTGGATCGGATTCACGTTAAAGGTTGGACATAGAAACAATTGCCACTATTCGATTATACCAAGGTTTAAGGAAACGATTTGAGTGGTACCGTAGATACCAATTTGTACCATAGATCTTCAAAATTCCTCAATACCACTCCCTGGTACTTCAGAGAACACCTAATGCTGTGTACCAATGGTCGGTTGAAAAGGACATGGAATTTAATGCATCAAAATGTATGGCCGTATCCATTCACCACCAAACTCGTTTTCCGTATTTCCTAGGAGATCAACAACTTCGGTATGTTCCGAATGAGAAGGATCTATAGATCATTGTCTAAGACGAACAAAGTTGTTCTTTAAATTGCTCCCAGGGGTCGTCTACTGCTGGAAGACATGTTGGTTTGCTAAAGCAAGTATTCGGAAAATTTGAAACTAGGCTATTTCCACGGTTGTTGTCGACCTACTTTCGACCCACGTGGAGTATGCAATTCAAGCGTGAAATCCCTGGTTGAAACGCGATCGGAAGATTCTGGAACGTCCACAAAGAATAGTCACCAAAATGGTCAATGGACTGCATTCCAAGAGTAACGCGTAAAGACTGGAATCACTACAATTGTACTCCACACGGTATCGTCGCATTCGAAGGATCTTGATCTTGGTGCATCAAATAATGCAGAACCCAAATTACCAATGCTGGTTACTCTTTACCATGTCGTCCAATAATCACCTGAGGGGGCACTTATATAAATTAGGTCGTCGGCGTCAATCATTTCTCCTCAGAGTGTGCAATACATGGAATTCTCTGCCACCGCAATTTGCTTCTCCGCCCATAATTAATTCCTAAAAGCACAAACTGGACGAAGCTTTGACAAGTCTTAAATTCCAACATTCGTAGCAGTGCATCAAATAGGGATAAACTGTGACATTCGTCTACTTTTGATGAATCGTGAATCAATTCATCTGTGCTAAACCCTATGGGACTAGAAAAGCAACCGCTTGCAAGTATTTCCCATAATAAAACTTTGACTTTACCTTTGACTTTGACCAATCCTCAGCTAGGAGAAATTCCGGTGTGCGTCAAACCGAAGGGCTCTGAGTGGGAACACTGACACAAGTAGAAAAATTCCACCATAATCATCAAAAATAGTTTTTATGATGAAAACAACGAACCAATCATGATTAGGTCGTGCGTCACGCTCAGTTCGAGCTTCATCTCGTTCTGGTCACACTGTGAGGTCCAATATATTCTCAAACCGTAGCTTATGAGAACAGCTAGGCGTGCAGTGAGTATGGTGTCATAGTTTAAAAGCCTTGCCACGGCATCAGATCCATAGTATTAGAGCCGTACAGGATTTGCCACAATGACAGAAAATAAAAATAAAAACAATTTTCAGCTGACAACACAGACCAGCTCAATTTTTCCCTCCCCTAGACCAATTAAAAGCAGCTCTATTTGATAAGGTTTCTCTCACAGTGTTTGTTTAATGTTCGCTTACTAATTGACTGGAAAAAGGCCTTTCAAGAAGGTTGAAACATCGTCAACCAAATACGAGCAAGTAACAGTGAGTTGGAATGGGAAGATCAATTCAACTTCATGAGTGGCTATCATTGGGTGCCTCATTATCAAAAGATGGAACTAATTCACTTTAGATAAGTAACTAATGGGAACGGTTTCATTCACAGAATACTTCCTCTTGGTTTGAGTTTCAATGATTGTACCGTCTGAGGATCTTCTATCCTCTCAATGTCAGTGCCATTGCAACAACAACTGTTAAGCTTTCCATTCGGAGAGGGAGACATCACTCTTCGATCATTTGTGATAGACACTATGTGTAACAAAATCAAGTACTTTTAAAAGTATATTTAGACCGGTAACTTACATAAGAGAATAGGAAATTACAGTTAAAGGACATATGTGCCTAGAATTACTTTGTTTCTATTCTCGGTGTTAGCTTCGTAGTAGTTTTCTGAAAAAGACAGCGTTTTATGGAGGTTACCGCGTAGCCAATGACGATAGACATATCTACCTTTTGTAAATAATTTTCTATGAAAATTCTGAGTTCTGCGAAAGTAAGTTTTGACCGATCCTAATCTGAAGCTCGAAAATTGTAGCTTGCATCCACTCCAGCTTTCTGTCCGATAGAAACAT